TTTACTAAATTATGATGAGCCTGGGACCAGGTAGATACCGCGTTTGCATTTCTAATAAGTTTACAGTTGATGTACATGATGATGGTTTGGAACCACTGGCCTAAAGCAAGCAATATCTAAACTGAGCCATGAAAGAATAAGTAGGAATTAGCTAAATTAGGGGTAGTATTGTGGGGGGAAGAGCAGTGAGGAAAGCTGAAGGCAAAGGTTCAGACAGAGGAGACTTGCATGTAGTGCACAGGGACCTGCAAGTCTGTAGGAAAAGGAGAGTGATGAGAGATGAGGCTGCCAAGGCAGGAAGAAGCGATATTCAAAGGCATTCAGAGCCCTTTGACCATACTAAAGAGCTAGGTTTTGGGTGGAGAGCCACTGAAGGACTATAAAAAGGGAGCAACATGATCAGAAGTGATCATTGTGGCTTCAGTATAGGGTGTGGACTGAAGGTGGGCAAGACCAATAAGTAGACTGTAATTAGCTACTGTAGGAGCAGGTTGATGACCAGGAGCTATAGAGTAGCAATGAAGATGGAGAAAAAGAAAAAGATTTGAAAGATATTTAAGAGGTAGAAATTAAATTCTTGAACACTCATTTCATGTCTGGAATGTAGGTGAGGGAAAAAAATAAAGTTTATTGGTAGGTTTCTGCTTTGATCCATTAAGTATAATAGTCACGGGAGCCAGGAAGGCTAGAGGAACGAGGAATGGAGAGAGGGATGATTTAATCTGGGGACCTGTTGAGGTCTAGTGAGTCACTGAGTAGAGGGATTTTGAGCTCAGGAGAGAGATCTAAACTAAGGCACAGATTTGGGACTTGCCAATACATAGATAACTGAAACAGAGAAATAGAATTCCCTGGGTACAACAGGTATAGCAAGAAATAGATCTAGATGGCTACATTTAGGAGATTGTTGAGAAACGCGGCCACTTAAGAGCAAACCTGGGGAAGAGGAGTCTGTGTTAGAGACTACAAAATTGCTAACAGAGAAATGGGAAGAAAATCAGGAGAACATGACAGAATGGAAGCCAGTGCTTTAGCCATGCTGAAAGCTGGAAAGAGATCAAGTAAAATAAGGAGTAACAATATCAATTAGATATTTGAAGAAGGTAATTAATAACCGAAGTATAACTCCTGACAGTAAAATTTCATGAATTCAAACCAGAAATATATAGGAAGTGAAAAAGTAGAAGCAGATAATATAGTGACAGCCAGTTCGTGTGTTGCCCTTTTCATGGTTTCAACATGATTTGTATGACTTTATCTGCTATTAATAATGAGAACAAAATGTATTTTTAAATATACTTTTTTATATTAAATTCTGGGAATTTCTTGCTGTCTTCTTGTATATATTACTGCTTTCCTTCAGAAATAGTGAAATTTTCTGAACAGATAGGTAGCCTGAAGATTTATCTTTGAAATAACAGTAGAAAAAGTAATCTAAGAATTTTAATGATTGTATTTTTTTCCTACAGTTGTATTTCATATAAATGCATATCTAAGGATTTTGTTTTTAGAAGTTGGTTTCCAGGGAATGAACCCATATAAACTAACAAGAGCTTGTTTTTTAAATATATGGTAGAATTTTCTCATTTTATTTTAAGGCAGTGCTAGAAAAATTCATCTTATTCTATTTTACCAAAACCAATATCCTGAAATGCTTAGGCAGAGGTACAGAGTTGCTTAAGTATATTTCCCAGAATTCAAAAACCAGTAAAATCAATAACACAAGACTCATGACAGCTTTTGCTTTGGTTTTTCATCCCTGGAAATGAGATTATGGGACCTGTGATGATCTTGAATTCTCAGACCATGCAGTAAATACCCAAAGGGTCGCCTGGAAAACATGAAAATTTATGATAATTTAGAATTGGGATTTATGGACTAAAAGATTACCCAACTGGGATCATACAGATTTCTTCTGAAAATGCAATGTGTATTTCCTGCTCTGTATTTTGTTATGTGATTTCCTTCAGCTGGAATATCTCCTTATATCTTTTCCACTTTCCTCAATTTCTATTGGTATCCATCAAAGTCCAGGTCAAATACCACCTATTTTATTAGATTACTACACTGACTGTGTACATAAAACATAGAACATATGCTGTTTTATACGGCAGTTATTTGCATATTTATTTCTAGTTAGACTGTAAGCTTCTAGGACTATATCTTATTCTTCCCATGTTGCCCCGCATAATGCCCAGCATATGATTATCACTATATAAATATTTGCTCGTTATACTTATATTTCATTTATATATGATTGTCACAATATAAAAATTCATTCATTATGCTTATATATTCAGTGTCTAGAACTAAAGAATTCTCCTTTTTCTGCCTAGCCAAAATATAGAAGACCATAAAAATGGGCCAGATTTCCTCTTTTGAGTTCCTAGTCATTCAAAATTTAGAATTCATTCAGGTATACCTAGAGACAATTATGTGTACATAGTGGCTGCAAGTTTCTCCTGCAGAAAATAAAATTGACACTGGCAAAAAAAAAAATAATAATAATGATAATGATAATTTTTTAAATGTCTCTTATTTCTAAGAGTTCTCTGAATTTTTTGATCTGCTAATTATAATAGAAGGCTTCTTATAGGGTTAATCATTGATCAATAAGTTGATAAACTTGTTTGAAGCAAAAAAGCATTAAAGAAGTGTATAAGACACACAAATAATCATTTACCAATTTTTAATTTTTTTTTATTTTTTATTTATGATAGTCACAGAGAGAGAGAGAGAGAGAGGCAGAGACATAGGCAGAAGGAGAAGCAGGCTCCATGCACCGGAAGCCCGATATGGGATTCCATCCCGGGTCTCCAGGATCGCGCCCTGGGCCAAAGGAGGCGCTAAACCGCTGCGCCACCCAGGGATCCCTCATTTACCAATTTTTTAAAAGATTTATTTATTTCAGGGAGAGGGGGAGAGAGAGAGAACATGAGTAAGGTCAGGGGCCAAAGGAAAGGAAGAGAAATTCTCACGCTGACTCTGAACTGAGCACAGAGCCCCACATGAGGTTCAATCCCAGAACTCTGACATCATGACCTGAGCCAAAATCAGGAGTCAGATGCTTAACTGACTGAGTCACCCACGTGCCCCTCACTTACCAATACTTTTGAGGAAAAACTCCTTCTTTGACTATGGGTCAGGTATTTGGAGTGCATTATTCTCTTTCTAACATAAATTACTATAATCATTATTTACTGTTCAGTGTTGGTTCTTTAGATAAAAGTGTAAATCTAAATATTTTTAAAGTAATCTGAGTATAGACTTTCTAGATTCTTGTTTATTGACCACTCCAATATACTAAAATTTCCTCATTTTCCCCTCAGTTAAAAGCCTATTTAATGAGTTCCCAACATGGAGTCTTTCCAAAGCATTCGAGATAGATTATTTTATTTTATTTCATTTTATTTTATTTTATTTTTATTGGAGTTCAATTTTCCAACATATAGCATATCACCCAGTGCTCATCCTGTCAAGTGCCCCCCTCAGTGCCCATCACCCAGTCACCCCAAACCCTCACCCACCTCCCTTTCCATACCACTTGTTTGTTTCCCAGAGTTAGGAGTCTCTCTTGTTCTTTCTCCCTCACTGATATTTCCACTCATTTTCTCTCCTTATTTTATACAAATAAGTCTTTTTTTTTTTTACATCATGAGTAATTATTTTATTCGTAATTTAGTTAAATTATATAAGGTGATAACAATGGGCACAATTTGGGGACAAATACAGCTGATTTCTTAACAAGTAGCAATTCCCCTGGTTGGAGCAAAAGTGTTTGAGGCACACTAGACAGAGCTAGCAAGTTCGCTGCCAGTACTAGCATTTACATGGCATGGGCAGTACTCAATATGTTTTACCTAGGGAATGGAGAATAGCCGTTAATCTGGTGAACTAGTAAAATGGCACTAGAGTAAAAAGAGCTACTATCCTCTTATTTTATACTAATATCTTTCTGACATTGTTCCACAGAAAAGTTAAGTGTAAGTATTTTATTCAGAATTAAATAACTTCACCCTTTGTGTTAGCTGAAGGACAATGGAGTTAAAGGTATAGGGAAGAAGGATAAATAAAAGTCTGCCGTAAAATAACTTTCTTTGCTGGATGTATTGTGTTGATTCAGGAAGAGCTACCAAAGGTCTATACAGAGAAAAAAAAAGTATAATACATCTAGGCTATTTCAAGTATGCATGTTTCATTTCCAATTTCATCCCAATCTTCTTCCTTAATATAGTGATCTTAATTCAGTTACCCTAGTATTTAAATACCTCTCTCATTGTTTTCATGTTTATTTCATTATTATTTTTGGTAATGTGATAAAATAATTACAAAGGGAGATCATTTAGTATAATTTTCACGGGATGCCTGGGTGGCTCAGCCTTCGACCCAGACTGTGATCCTGGAGTCTGGGGATCGAGTCCCACAGCAGGCTCCCTGCATGGAGCCTGCTTCTCCCTCTGCCTATGTCTCTGCCTTTGTCTCTCTTCTCTCTGTGTATCTTATGAATAAATAAATAAAATCTTAAAAAAAATAATTTTCAGAAAATGCCTTTCATGTTATTCTATTGTAAAAAAATTAACTGGTTCAGGGAAGTTTTTGGCTTAGTATAATAGTGTGAAATCTAGCTACTTATTTTCAAGACTAGTTTTGATCCCTTGGAAATCTTGTTTGAGCCAGTTTGCCTCTGGATCCTTTTTTTTAAGATCTTGAGTATGTTCCCTAAAATATTAAGACACACTCAAAAGAATTTCATCCTGTACAAATCTGTTGACTCACTGCCATCTAAAGTAGAATATCTGTTTTGCTATTGGAAGATAAAAACTATAATGAAATTAGTGAAAATAAAAGCAATACTGTTTCTAGGTTTTTTTTTTTTTCATGTTAAAACTCTGCATAAGTAGGTTTTTGGTGGGCTTAAACTTCACCTAGAAGAATCAAATAATATGGAGTTTTTCTGAGTGCTAAGTTTGCCTTCACATTTTGATGTTTTGCTTCCCCAGGGTTTTGAAGGTGTTTCTTTCACGAACAGCCCAGCGGATTCCATATATGACTGGTGGACGGGTCATGAGGATGCTGGCAGTAATGCTCCTGGTAGTATTTTGGTTTCTTGTTGGCTGGACTTCGTCTGTTTGCCAGAATTTGGAGAGGCAGATTTCACTTATTGGCCAAGGGCAAACATCTGATCACCTCATCTTCAATATGTGCCTCATTGAGCGCTGGGATTACATGACAGCAGTTGGTATGTGATCACTTATTTTGTGCGTTGTCTGGTCCTATTTCCTAAAATAGACTTCTTTAGAAGCCTTAACATACCCTTTTACAAAACTGAAAGGGATTTCACCTAATATGGTTTGGATAAAACAATATCATGAAAAGGACAATAATGACATGTGGAATGCAGACTTTTTCTGAGTTTCCATTCTTTTTTGAAGATATGTAGCTTTGTTGAGAAAATGTGGTCAAGTAAATTAGGAAGGAGAAATGCAGCAAATAAAAACAACTACTTCTTACAAAGAAACTTTCTGTTTTCCACCTTATCAGTGTATTCCCATTGTATTAACAATAGCTGTTTTCTTGATTTATTTCTTTAATCGGGAGGGGGAAAAAGGGAAACATACTAGTATTTTTTATATAGTTTTGGTCCTCTGATATTTCAGACTAGGGATGCAGGGCATGTTTTGAGTAGAGATCTTCCCTGCAAAAATTTTAATTAATCTATGGCTCTTCTAAAGATAATTTATTAGGACTTCTCTGGAGGTCCAGTATTCCACAAAAATGAAGCCATGCTCCTTGGGGTTGGTGAGAGACTGTTCCATGCCTGAGAAACTGGAGAACTTGGAAGAACCACATGACATCTTAGGCCAGAAGCATAGGTTTTTCTGGCACCTTGATTTTTTGAAAAATGAGGAAGAGAAATCAATAGAAATTTTTCTGTTGTTAAGATTAGGCTAGCTTAAGCCAAGCCTCTAAAGATACAAAAAATAATGAAAACAAATTTTTATTATTTTGTTGTCATTCCCCTCAGCAAACCACAGGACAAATCTTATTTTTATTTGGCAGTGAGTCTAATTCCTATTTTCTGCCCCCCCCATATTTGGCAATTTGTTGGTTGAATATTCATATTTAGTGTTTTGCTAGAAGTTAATAACAGATATATTTAGTTTACAATTTAAATGTAATGATATTTTTCCTGGGCAAGATATTTCAGGAATTTTATAGGCCTGATATCCATAATAATGAAGCAATTGTGAGTATATAAAAAGAATGGTTATAATGATAATTTGTAAAGCCAACCTTCATTATTTTGATCAATATCAAAAACATACCAGAAATTATCAATAGATATGTATCAGTAGATATCAATATTGAAGATAAAACTTAGAAATTATCTGATTCTGACTTAAGTATAGATATAAACAAATTGTATAGGTATAAAATTTCTACTCAATAGAAACCTCTAAAGTTGTTTTACATTCTTCAATCCAAGTTAACCAAACTAGGAAAAATCATTTTCCCACATTACTGTGAAGAAAAGCCCACTATATTTCTTTTCTGTTTTATAATACTCAAAATACATGCTTCATCATGGGTAGGGAATAAACAAGCAGAAAGCATGGCCTATTTACCTAGCATTATCTGTATTTTGTATACCTTGGTTTTGAGATATATTGAAGGCCTTTTAAAATGTTCTTTTACATTCTGAAGAAAATGACATTTATGGTCTCCTGTCTCTATGTAGAAATAAATAGGAAAATATAGCTGACAGTAACCTGCAATTTATTCATTATGAACTTTATATATAAGTAAAAGTTTCATACAGTAAACAAGACCCACTGAGTAAATTTCTTTAATGCTATGTTGAACACTTTGCAGGAGACATAAAATGTATGAAATTTCTGTTCCTCTTATCAAGTAGCTTACTATTGGTTTATATAAATAAATGGGAATTGTTAAAAGTTATTTTAAAAAAACAAAATTATGTGGTAAAGACTCTTGGTACAATAGTTCAATAAAGGAAAACAACAGTTTGGACCAGAACCCAGGAATATTTAAAGGGAAGTTCTTTGAGCCAGGTTATTGTAAAGTGGTACAGAGAACATTCCCTTTGATAGGAATAGTGGTAGAGGTGGATGGAAATTATATTTCCTTAGAAGGAAATGTCCATCTAAGAAAGATTATGTTGGAATACATTGTGATTAATTCTGGATAGTTAGGTTTATTGTGGGTCTTGAAAACCTGTTAAGGAATTTGGAGAACCAGAAATGTGATATGATAAATCAGTAAAGTCAATATAGATTGCCTTTAGGAGAGAGAGAGGGAGGGAGGGAGAGAGAAAGAGAGAATAGACCGACCAATTAAATTCATGGGTTTAGGAGGAAGAATCATTAGAAGGGAGAAAGAGCAGTGGTTCTCAAAAGTGGTCCCAGAATCGATGGCAGCAGCACACCTGGCAACCTGTTAGAAATGTGCATTCAGGGGCCCACCTACAGACTTTATAGGTCAGACACTGGAATTGTGAGGCCCCACAGTTTGTGTTTAACAAGTCCTCTAGGTAATTCTGATGCTACTCTAAAGTGTAGAACTACTGACTTGAAGGAAATAATCAGATGAACTTACTAGAATATATATATCACTTATCTTAACTGTGCTCTGGGCATTCCATGATACTCTGTTTCCCTGATCAATCACTAGAATATTCTTCACAATGATTATTTCAAGTCTTGTATTGCCTCCCCTTTTACACCTCCAAACTAATATTCTTTTTTTTCTCTTAAAAAAGTAAGATAGCAATCAGACATCAGTTGTCTTCCACTTCTTGTCAACATATCTGTAAATCTTCCTATATTCCTTCCCATTCTTATCCACCCTCCATGACCTAAACTAACTCTTGTACCACACTCATTCAACATTAACCCCTTATCTCCAGTGACCTGTCTCACTTTCTATGACTTTCCTGTCATCTGAAACTCTCCTACCTCCCAAATCTCTCATTAAAGAATTCCATTCTGACCACAACCTTCTGTCTTATGTTATTTGTTTAACTACTTTGGCTGCAATAGCTCTTTATATTCATGGGCCATTTTTATTGTGTTTAGTACATTTAGTGGCAGTATAGTACTGCCACTAAATTCTGCTTTCCTCCAAAGATACAGCTTACCAGGCAGCAAATTTTTCTACTAGCAAAGATGAAAACACATGAAAAAAGTAGGCATTCTTTAAATATAGTAATTCTGGATAATACCAGAGAAGGGGATGCACAGAGAGCAGGGAGGACTATGAGCTCACCTTCCTGGAGAGCCTGAGGTAGGTGGTATAAGAGAGAAAAGCCTGAGATCCAGAGCTTGGGAGGGCTACAGAATGCAGTTCCTCGGACACTAAGCAGGTCTCAGTTACAGTAAGAAGAGAGAGAGAAGCTAAGAGAAGAGATTGATTGTTATGGTGGGAAGATCTAGGTCATGGCTCTAGGACTGAGTTAAAAGTAGTAAAACTTGAGAGGCAGGCATTAAAATAATACTCCCACAGGTGTTAAATGATAATGGTAGGGTCTCAGAAAATAAAAGACAAGTGACAGGGTGCAGAGACTCAAGAGGCGAGAAAAAGTTGAAAGGTGGTGATGGTGGCGGTGGTTTTGTTAGCTCCAGGCTCTGTTTCCATCCTATAAACTACTAGAACACCTTCGTTTCAACACTTTTCCTGCAGTGACACATTTCTCTAAAGAAAAGTCGAGACACATGGTTTAACAAACAGGAACAAATATTTGAAATTAGGACTCTCTTAAAAGAATCAGAGACATGTGGTTGCTATGATTTTTTTTCACACTACCCTACAGCAATTCCATTTATTTATCTTTCACATATCTTACATTTTTCTTTCTAGTGCATGTAGCACTAGATATTCTGTATTTAACCTCTCTTAATTTAATGTTTTCTAATGTGCGGCAGATGCTTCTTTTCAGTTCTCTTTATATATTTCTATAAGTAGCATGTTTGCCCTTAGATTTTTTTATACTCAGACTGTTATTCAAGAATAAATTCTTGTATCTTCAGTCAGCCAAGAAGAAACCTGTACTAAAAGCTAAATTATTCCATTTCCTAAATGGAAATGTTTCTATATAGGGGACAGGCTGCAGAGAAGCAATAGATAGGTTTTACCTTGAGGCTGTGAAAATCATTCTCAGGAAGCTCTGTACACTTAGATTAGGTCAGGAGTCAATTTAGAAAAAAAAAAGAGAAAGTGGTGGTTAATACATTTATAAACATGCATTCTGGATTAGCTTTACCTATCAAAAAACGATCTATTTTTTAAAAATACAAATTAAAGAGTCACTTGAAAGAGTGCAATACTTGTCTTCCCACTGAAGTAGAACTCTATTTAGAAATGTGGGTCATAAATGTAAAGAATGGGTCTATTCTGTTTTTGCTCACTGTGCAGGGCACCTCCAAAATTGCTCAGACAGGTGATTTGCCTGCCACAAATGTTTCAGACCAGGTTTAGAAACTGCTTGGAAAAATCTTCAAACCTCTATGAGACTCAGTTTCTACTTTGAGGAAATATGTGAAAACATAGAAAGGGAGAAAAGATGACTTTCAGAATCCCATTGTTATTTAAATATGTTTATAATTTTCAATTATCATGTTTGCCCTGTATAAAAAATTGTGAGGTCACCTTTAAATGGAAAACAAATAAAGGTGTAAATATTGCAACTATAAAAGACAGATGAACAGGCAATGTGAAAAGTTTTATAGGCCCAATAGTTTGGGAGTTTTTTAATGATTTTTAAAAATCTGGTGAGAAATGAACTTCAAATTGTGGACGTTTCAGAACATTTCTGGATCAGACTAAATTCCTATAAAGACTTAAAGTGCTATACCACTTTGAAAATCATCTATTCGAAAGATAATACTGTAGTACTTATACTATTCATTTATCACATGGCTCAGCACTTTGAATTTTTCTGAGTATGTTTAAATATATTATCTGCCATTCATATTCTTATATCTCCTCATCCCTCCTTTCTCTCCCAACCTGGTAGTTCTAACACTCCTCAACACCATTACTTAGCTTGTTCTCAGTATATCCCTGACACCTAACAAAGTATCTGTCAGCTCTTGATAAATATTTGCTGAAAGAATAAAGGATGAGCTCAGCTCCCTTTATCTTGTAATATTTTCTATGGTCAGAATTACACCAGTTGACGAAACATTTAAAGCTAAAATTCTAGGAGTTACACAATTGTCT